ACGGCGGAAATATAATAATACCAAAACAGGGGGGGCTATATAATTGTATAACCCTAATTAGAATAACACATCCCACTACTCATTCTCTCGAGAGCATCCTACAGAGTAAAACGTGTAGAGAGAGACTCACTTTTTTTTCTGGAGAGAGAGACACACTTTCAAATAAATAATTGAACTTGTTTAAAATTTGTCTTCTCGTGAGGTGGTGAAACGTGGCAATATTAGATTGGTTTTTTAGTTTGGTTGGCTGGAGAAAATGGGGAGGACGACATGGTTCGACGTCGACGGGATGAAGAAAGGAGAGTGGACGGCAGAGGAAGACCAGAAGCTCGGCGCTTACATCAACGAGCATGGCGTTTGTGATTGGCGTTCCCTCCCCAAAAGAGCTGGTATAATATAAACATGTCATTCATAAAAGTGCATTTTAGTTTGTGCTCATATGAAATTGTGTCTTCTTCTACTCTTTTTCATTAGATATGTATTTGGAACAAGGGATTTGTTGAAGTCTAGATAAATTCTAGTTGCTGCCCTATGAAAATATGCGTGTATATATGTAGCAAAACACTTGGGATATTTATATTTATATTCCATAAACATATAGAGAAGTGTATGCATCTATATGTTGTGTTTTTGCAAAACTGTGTTACAACATATTTTCTTCTTCTCACTTTTTTTTTTGTTTTCTTAATAAACTAATTTGGGAACAACGAGTTTACAGAAAGTATAAATTCGAATTGCTGCCTATTAATATATTGCATGTAGGTATGTAGCAACATAGTTGGATTAAGAACATCTAAAAAGCATGTGTTAAGTATATAGAATATTTAACATTGTTTTTGGTTCGTATATATATCTTTAAAATGTTTTAAAATGATTAAGACAATATTGAAGATACTTTCTTTGTACTTTTTTTCCCCTATTTGTTGCTGAAAGTTCTCATTTGTATTATTAGAGGACTATGAGTTAAATCATAAGTGGGTATATTAATATACACACCGAAATTTTCGGGATTGGAAATTTGTTACATATGTAGAGATTCTCTTCTACATGCTGAAGTGAATAGTATAATCCATGTTCTTTGAATTCAAAATCACTGATGATTTTTTTTTCTTATAATGATTTTTGCAACCAAATCAAGAATGAATATTGAAAGTACGTACTTACACATACACCCATGTTTTATAATACTTTTTAGTCCATGATTGATTATAATTTTTGTAGATGCTTATTTCTATTTAGTAGAAACTCATACCAATTCTTTCACAAAAAAAGAAACTCATACCAATTATATCCATATGATACTATAAAAAATGATTTCCATCTTTTAACGGTGCTCAAGAGCGACAGGTGTTCCCTGTGCTTTGTCCATATACATAGTGGTTGGAAAATTCCTTGTTTTTTTAAGACCCAATCTCGAAAAGTTGAAGCTTTTACAACTTCCTTGCTTTCAAATCCTCCAGTGTTAATAAAAAGTTTAATTCTTGGCAGATTCTTTTGTTTGCCACTACAAAAGCACAATTATTTCTTCGAATAATTTATTATGAAAAACAGGTTTGCAGAGATGTGGAAAGAGCTGCAGATTAAGGTGGCTTAACTATCTAAAGCCTGGGATTAGAAGAGGCAAATTCACTCCTCAAGAAGAAGAAGAAATCATCCAACTTCATGCTGTTCTCGGAAACAGGTTAATTATCAAGTTATATATATGTAACATTATATACTTTGGTAGAGAGTCCACATATATACTTCAGTAATGATTAACCACTCTGACGTTAATTTATATGTTAAGTGATATTTCCACAAAGTTTGGAGATTAATTTGAATTTTTTTATTTGGGATCTTCGGAAACAATATTAATTTATCTTTTTTTTTTTTTTTTTTTGATAAAGGACATACTAAATCTTGTTATTCTTGAAAAAATAAAGGTGGGCAGCCATGGCGAAGAAGATGCAGAATCGAACAGACAATGATATCAAGAACCATTGGAACTCTTGTCTCAAGAAAAGACTTTCGAGAAAGGGAATCGACCCTATGACCCACGAGCCCATCATCAAACACCTCACCGTCAATACCACTAACGCAGATTGTGGTAACTCTTCCACCACGACGTCCCCGTCGACGACGGAAAGCTCTCCTTCCTCCGGCTCGTCTCGTCTTCTTAACAAACTTGCCGCAGGTATCTCATCTAGACAACATAGTCTCGATAGGATCAAGTACATCTTGTCGAATTCAATAATCGAAAGCAGTGATCAAGCAAAAGAGGAAGAAGAAAAAGAAGAAGAAGAAGAAGAAAGAGATTCAATGATGGGTCAGAAGATTGACGGTAGTGAAGGAGAAGATATTCAGATTTGGGGCGAGGAGGAAGTAAGGCGTTTAATGGAGATTGATGCAATGGATATGTACGAGATGACTTCGTACGACGCTGTCATGTACGAGAGTAGTCACATACTTGATCATCTCTTTTGACTTAATATAGTGTGACTGTGTGAGTGCATGCATGTTGTTAGCATATGCTAAGATATGTTTTAAAGTTGCAAGTTGCAACAATGAATATTAACGTGGACCATTTTTTGACAAAGAGAAAATGGTTCCCTAAAGAGCAAGTCGTCGTATAGCTTTTTTTTTTTCAAAGGAAAAAAAATTAAAAAAGAGAGAGATCGTCGTTTAACATGTGGGGTTCAGTTAGGACATACAATTGTAATAAGAATTTTCAATGAAATACTGGGAAATATTTAATCAAAATAAAAATATTTTTACGCCAAAATATTTTCCAATATTTCATTGAAAATTCTTATTACAGTTGTATGTCCTAATAAAAATAAGTCTATTTTTAATGCAAGATCACGATTATAGAAGATAGATAAACATTTAAAATGCTTATGGAATATTTAAATATGTATATGATCTATTGAAAAAAAAATGTTAAAAAAAAAATCTGTTACTTTTAATTTTTTAAGTAAAGTGTTAAACATTTCTTTGAAAGCTTTTTGGATTTTATCAACGTAATCATCACTACGAATCAAGGACTCATTAATGGTGCATGCGATTGAAAGTGTGAAAAATAGACAGTATGTCGTCATTAGGGACACGTCTGAACATGAAACTTGGACACGTCTGTACAAAATTAATGCTGCAGGTATTTGCCTATCATCCTGACTTATTTACATTTCTGTGTGTTTTTTTGGGCAAATTTACATTTCTGTGCTTTTTTTTCCTTTTCCGAATATGAAACTTGGGTATTTAGCCAGAACCGAATTTTCTAAAATGTATTTGAATCCAAGCCGAGTTGAGGTTAACTTTAGATCAATTGGTACAATTTCGTTCTATACAATCAAAACCATAACTATGTTTAAGCCCACGCAATTATAAATATTAACATTGATTTAATCTCATGAAATTTTGTTTTTGATGGGTATAACAAAATCTTTTGGTATCAATTGGTACCAAACTACCAATCAATGAGTTTCAATTTTAAAAGTTTGTGTTCATTTTATGTGTTTGTCTCAATTGTTTTCCTTTTTGATGTCCAATTTATTGTCATCTCTGTGTTTCTTTTTACGTAAAAAAAAAAAGGAAATGACAAAAAAATATATTACCAAACACAGAAAATTGAAGGTCCACTAAAACAAAATTGACTCCTCTACTTTTCTTCATGTTTGGGATAATTTTGTTTTTTTAATAATATTTTTTAAAATAGAGAACTGATATTTGGTAAAGAACAAAATGACACTTTGATTCAGAAATTTTTATTGTCTACATTTCTGACCCATCATGCTGCTCCACATGTGACATCTCTTCTCAACTAGTCAATGCAATCAAGGTGACGATATAAAAAAGTAAGAATTTAAGCTCTCTATAGGCTAACAACAACATCAACTTTATCATAATGTTTTTTCAAAATAATTTTTTCCTTTCAATGATTTAGTGTGAGCATATGCTTTCAACTCAAAACTAAATGAAAATTTGTAAAAAAGCGTAAGTTGTTATTAATATATTAGTCTAGACTTCTTTTGATTTTATTTTTAATATATATATATATACTTTTAATTGTGTGAATATGCATGTATTTATAATCTTACTGATATTGTGTGATATACTACTATAACATGTATCCTGAGTTTTATATTCGCCATAGTTTATAATGCTATACTATAATTAGGGGTATCAAAATGGGTCAAAATTCATTGGTCAACTCAACTCAACTCAACTAATGAACCGTAACGAGTTGAAAATTTTGACTCAAATGAGTTGATGGGTCAAATGATTTGATGAGTCAATTGGTTTGATAAATAAAATGAGTTGGGTTGTAATGGTTAATGGTTTCAATGGTTTACCCAATTAACCCATCAAATTTTGTAAAATTGAATTAAACCAACTAAAATCTCTAAACCAATGCCAATTTAAGTTTAACTAACACATCTAAACCAATTTAATAAAATTAATATTTTTCCAAATTTCTTAAACATACAAGCGATGAAATTGAGAAAAAGTAAACTCGTAAATTTTCCACCAAAAAACATAAACCCGTGATTTTCCACCAAAAAATATAAACTTGTGATTTTTCCGCCAAAAACGTAAACCCGTGATTTTCCCGCCAAAAACGTAAACCCGTGATTTTCCCGTCAAAAACGTAAACCCGTGATTTTCCCGCCAAAAACATAAACCCGTGATTTTCCCGCCAAAAACGTAAATCCGTAATTTTCCCGCCAAAAACGTAAACTCATAATTTTCCCGCCAAAAAAACGAAAAACCCGTGATTTTCCAGTCAAAAACGTAAACCCGTGATTTTCCCGCCAAAAACATAAACCCGTGATTTTCTCGCCAAAAACGTAAACCCAAGATTTTCCCGCCAAAAACGTAAACCCGTGATTTTTCCACCAAAAACGTAAACCCGTAAAAAGTGGAATCCGTAAATATTGTAAGTTTGATGATAATGAATTAATAATGATCATTATTTATTATTGTTTTATAATAATAATTAATTAAATTATTATTTAAATGGATTAACCTATTTAACAATTCAACCCATTAAATTAAATGAGTTATGAGTTGACTCAACCCATTTAACAAAATGAGTTGGGTTAACCCATAACTCATTTAACCTTAAACTCATTTGATTATGAGTTGAGTTGAGTTGAGTTACCCATTTTGACACCCCTAACTACAACTATGTAATTCTGTAATTCGCTTTTTTCTTAACAGTTTTTATGATATTATGTGAATATTCATGCATGTTAGGTGTAATTTTAACCATCAAAATTATACTGCATAAATTCCATTATAAATATGTTGAATTATATAAACAAGGTAAAGAAATCAATAATATTTTAGAAGAATTTATGAAGGATCGACATCGGCCGCGATCGGTGAGGGCTAGTCACTAGTGTTTTGTTTCATTTCAGTAATTTTTGTGATTGTTTTATACACTAGCCTCTTACTTTCACTCATTCAAGAGGACCATTTTAAAATAAATGAAAGGTTGTGTTCATATATAAATTTGGTGATCGTGAAGAAAATCATATGTTGTCTGTTGACAATCAAGTATATACTGTATATTAAATTTTTAATTAGGAAGATCAGTTAAGCAGAAAAAAAAAAAGAGAAGAAGACAAAACTATTGTGATAATTGCAGTACTTTTCTTTTGGTTCTGGTCCACGCTGCTTTGGATTTTATCATGCAACGTTATATATTCAATGTACGAAGTTGATGTTTTTGTTTTTTCAAATTATTTTGATAATATCTTCTTATTTTTTTTGTCAACTTTGATAATATCCTATGGTACTTTTTGTTATGAACAGATTAACCTATTGTTTGCAATAATGATTAATTTGTGAAACAAAATCAAGGGAATACAAAAATAAAAATAAGTAATGGCCACGTTCTTTTACTTAACGCAGCGGTAGCGGGAGAAAAGAAGAAAATCAATTATGGAAAAAGAAGAAAATGAGAAAAATTGTCGTAGCCGATGAACGCCGATGAAGATTAAGGTGCCGCTGTTAAATTTGAGCGACTCATTTGATGTCGTTGCGACTCATCGTCCATCATCTGCGAATCATCTAAATCTGTTATTTTCAAGTTTTGGTGTCGTTTTACTTGACTATTATTTTTCATAATACGTCGTTTTACTCGGACGTTGCCGCTGCCGCAGCGTGAACTAAAAGAACATGCTAAATGTAGGATTACTGATAGAACCATTACTAATTCTTCAAATTACATTGGCTTGATGAGACACGAAAAGACAAGAGAAAACTCAAAAAAAAAACCTTAAAAGTTATGCTTTAGTTATAAAGTTTCACATTGTAAAGACAAAATCGATAAGCATTAGATTCCGATGTTTTCGAGCACGTAGCAACATATGTTACCCAGAACACATTCTAGCTATTCTTACAAAGAAAACAAAAAAACGTTTCAAATCCAATGTAACGGTGGATTTCATATTAACAACATTTAACATAATAATTCTCTTTTTTCTTAATGATACGAAAATACTAACACGACCGCTTATAGACAGTCAATGCATATAATAAATATGGTGCAAGAAAAAATGCGGTATAAATCGAGAAATATCCACATCACCATGAGTTATGTGACATCGTGGCCAAGTAGAATGTTAAAATAATTAATGTCGTTACAACCAACATTTAAGACGACATCGTTATGGTCTTATGGAGTATGGGCACATGGAAAACGCGTTTCGGTATCGCTTTGCGTTTACATATTAGTCACGTGATAGATATTTAGTCACTTCATTACTATTATTCTGTCTTTCAACATTCATGTATTATTCTTTCTTTTTTTCAACGCTGCATTATTATTCTAATTTCTAAGGATTTTTTCAAGATTGATACTATTAATAAATTGATTAGAGTATCAACAATAAAGAAAGTTGGATTCCCTCCCACCTCCGAATTCCAATCTAGAAGATGTTTTATCTTTAGAATCCAAACATTTTAGGTGCCTCAAGCGGATTTTTTTTATTTATAATTTAAATACTAATTATTATGATACACTGATATTAGTAGCTAGCTAGTATAAATAAAACACTAAGCTACATATTTAATCAATATGAATTTAATTTAGGTGATACTGTATTAGTGTTTTTATGATTACACAAAGAATAATAAAAGTTTATATTTAAGCTACCAGTTTTACTCATTAGTTAAACACAAAGAATTGATTGGTTCAGAACGGACTAAAACAAGTCGAGCGGAACAACAATTGACCTGTGAATATGTGATCGTAATACATGCAACGCATTTTGTTTATTTTTCTTGAAACATGAGTGACTGAAACATATTATTTTCAATATATTGAAACATAGTTTACACACAAATACATCAATCCATGGATCATGGTGGTCTTATTATCATTTCGGTTATAGAAACACGACAATGGGTTCAAGTTCTTCAGTTATATATAATCCAAGCTTATGTGATCTTATTCTTCTTCTGCTTCTTTGCCCTATATTCCTTGATGTCACTTTCTACCTTGGCATTCACACGCGCTTGAAAACCGGGATATGGTTCATACCCGAAAACCGATTGAAGAACCTGTATTCATTCAAACATTTCCACATTAGCTTTTCATGTATTCTGGTTACAGTTTCCACAGAGCAGTATAATAAGGTAGCAGGAGATAACAAACAAATCACAACATAACATAACACCAACAACTTTTACCTCGAGCAACACGAAGAAAGGAGCCATGAGAAAAGCTTGGAGTAAATTGTCTAACAGCGCAGGTGCCCGTTTCTGTGAGTAGACAAGAATCAATAACATATGTGTTAGGACTCATGTATACGGATGACAAGACACAAAGGAGAATCAAAACAATGATTTCTAAAAGCCAGAGAACTTACCTCGAATACTCCATGGCCAACGAACTGCCCGGTCCAACATAACAGCTGAGATGCTAACCCAACCTGAGTAAAAAGACAATTAAATTGTTACAGTATCTACATAACAGAGAGAGTTGGCGTCTTGGCGAGTATTAACTGTTTTCCCTTTGCTGTTGAATACATATAACAAACTAATCAAATGATTCAGACTGAAGATACATATAAACTAATCAAATGATTCACAACACAGAAGATACATAAAAAAGCTCCTAAGTTACAGATGTCTCAAATACTATGGAAGAAAAACCAAACTTTAGTTAAACAAGTGATGTAGATTCTAATTATCTGAGACCATCACAAATGTTGGTGGTCAAGAACAACACTTGTTTCCGCCCAAGCACACATAAAATCCGCTTAACCAATGAGTCAACAACACTAAAAACATGACAAGTCTCCGGACCAAAGAATCAGAACCGTGCAAAGGTGGACAAATTGCAGAACAAACTGCAATAACTACTAATCATGAATGTTCAAAGCTAGAGACATGATATTAGTACTGCTGTCTCAACGTTAACAGCTAATGAAGGGACCCATAGACAACAGATAGAGAGGACTAATGATATAAATAAATCTATTTCTTCTTCCCTGAACATAAACCAATGATATAAACGAACTTTCAAGTCAAAGCATAGAAAACAATGAACAATAAATGCATGAACCACACTCACATCATATAAATATACACATAGAGCAACACATGGATACACATAGTCATATACCCTCATAAACATGCTTCTACGCAATTATTTTCTCCAAAAATGAAGTTTTTTCAAAAACCCTAAATTGAAATTAGAGAAAAAAAATCTAACCTTTAAGGCAAGAGAAGATCCTAGTCGAACAGCAAGAAAACTGGAACCAACCCAGCAAGAGAAACACATAAGAGCAGCTACAAATCCAGATTTCTTATCCAAACCGATATAGAACAGAGCATAAATCAAGGCGAATATAAACCCAACGTTAAATCGCAAAACGCCGTCGAGGGTCAACGATTGAGAAAACCCTAATTGAGAGGGGTCGAAAATTGGGGTCGACGAGTGGAGGAGAAGTAAAACTGAGAAGAAGATTGGCCAAACGAAGATGATGTGGATTAGAATGTTGATCGGATTGCTATGGTAAGCACCGTAGAAGGCGAAGTGTTTCTCGAGATCGAACAATCCCATTATGCGACTCATGGATAAAAAATTCGTTGAGGAAGAGGTGTTTTTATGAGGAGAAGATCGGTGGAAAATGGATAATAGTCACCAAACAGAGGAGATTAAAGATATACACGGGAAGAAGACGAAAGTGGAAAGTTTGATTAGCAATTTCCCGAAAATGATGCTAACGTGCGCTTTTTAATAGCTAACATGCGCTTTTTAAAGCGATAGAAGTTGACTTGGCCGGAGATTTTCTTCCGACTTTTGACAAAATACTAGTCGCTAAGAAGAGTAGACGTGTTATTGTGATTGCTAACATGCGCGAATAAAAGCTGGTTTAGATGGATATACATCATTGAAAGTTTGGCAAATAGAACATACACTATTCAACGAATGATGTATTTGGGATGATTGCTAACATGCGCGCATAGGAAGTTGAATTAGATGGAAATATCATTAAAAGTTTGGCAATAGTTGCCAACGTACGCTATTCAACAAATGATGTATTTGGGAAGAGACATAAGCGGAAAGTTTGAATTTCACCAACCAAAGATTTATTAGCAATTTTGGCGTGGTTACTAACTTGCACGTCTAGCAGAGTGAACGTGTTTAGTGATTGCTAACCTGCGCGAATGGAAAGTTTGTTGGACGGGTAAAATAAGAAAGTTTGTAGTTGAATTTTGCTGGAAATATCTTACCACTCTTTAAGGCAAATAGTTGTTCCCAACCTGAGCGTTTTAGAAGGCTAAAATGTGTACTGTGATTGTCTAAATTGGGCTTTTAAAAGACAAAAAAAGTGTTATGCGATGTGATTGCTAACGTACGTTATTTTTTTTTGTTTATCACAAGACTGAAGAGTGGACGATACCAATTCCCTTATCCACACATTTTCTGCCTCAAAAAATCTAATCTTAAAGATTAAAATAAATGAAAAAAAAAAGATTACAACAACATTGTTTTTTTCTCTTCTCCATTGCCACCATCAAGAAGTAACAATGGCTGAAGCTTTCACAAGTTTCACCTTCACAAATCTTCATATCCCTTCTTCCTCCAGTCACTCGGTACATATTATTAATTATTTAATATTCTTA